TTTGCATCAGTCAGTCTTGATGTAACGTCGTCAATAGTACGCATTGGGTAGTGAGGTCGCCTTATAGCCTCATTTAAAGCTTTTGGATCAAGGCAAACTCTGAGTTTACCTGTCTTTGGTTTTTCTACAATGACTAGGGAGTTCACCCAGTCTGTGGGTTCAGTGACCTTAGTTATTATTCCATCATTCTCCATGCGCTGGAGTTCTTCGTGAAGCCTGTCCCTTAAAGCTTCCGGCACTCGCCTAGGTGCGTTTATTACAGGAACAGCATCACTCTTAGTGTGAAGTTTACATTCACCTGGGATAACCCCTACACCTTGGAATAAGTTCCCATACTCTGACATGACCCTTTGTTTATCTAATTCTGTATTTGACCTGTCTATTGAATAGGTGAGCTTTATCAGGCCTAAGTTAACAGACGATTGTAAACTTAGCAGCGGGACTGTCGGACTATCAACAACATAACATAATGACTCGCTAGTCTTGTTGTTGTAGCGCAATTGCAGATTTGTTATACCGCATACAGGTAACATGTTGCCTGTGTACGATGTTAATCTATTTTCTGCGATTTCAAGAGGTTGTTTTATCTTTAATTTCTCATAATGGCTCAATGGTAGAATATCTACCGCGCTCCCAGTATCTATCTTAAATTTAACAGGAATATGGGAAGGACCGACATTAATTGGTACAAAGGCACGATCAGGAGTAGAAGATGAAAATTTTACCATATCAACGTAATAATCCTGATTTTCCGATTGAACGTTGTCACTATAATTGTATTCAGAATATTTCACATTGTCAACGTTTTTATTTCTAGATCTGCAAACGCTTGCAAAATGATTTTGCTTTCCACATGCGTAACACGTTGAATGTTCAGCTGGACATTTTGACCCTGGTCTATGAGTGTTCTGTCCACATCGTTGACATTTCAGTGGTTTTCTTCCATCTTGTTTTTGAATGTTATGATAATTTCTGTGTTGTTGTTGTTGTTGTTTAGGTTGCTGAAATGGTTGGTTCTTGTATCCTTTATGTTTTGATTTGTGCTGCTTAACCAGGTGTACATCATTAGCTGCTGCCATTGATTGAAGTTGTTTCTGTGCATATTCGTGTGCTTGTGCGATTTGAATAGCATTTTCGAGTGTTAATCCCTCGCCTTTGTTTATCAACTTCTCTCGCACTTTTCCAGAATTTGTCCCAAAAACAATTCTGTCTCTGATCATTTCGTCCTTGTCTTTAAAGCTGCAATCTGCTGCACTTAGTCTTAGTCTTGTGATGAAGGCATCGATACTGTCAGTGCCTTGCACTTCATTGTTAAACTTGTACCTCGCAAATATCGGGTTCAAGGACGGCTGCACATGTGCTTTGAACTTTTCATAATAAGTCTGAAGATTTTCAGCATCATCGCCAGTGAAGGGTTCCCATGTAGCGTGAATGTCCCTGCCCTTGTCACCGACCCATATCAACAAATATGATATTTTTTCTTTCTTAGTTTTGTTCTTGAGCGGCCCTGTAAACATCAGTTCAACATGCCTTTGGAATTTAATCCATTGTTCAGGAAGATTTGACGCTTCCCAGTTTATAACTGGCACAGAAAGTCCTGTTAATTCCATATTTTGTTGTCTTATATTCCAACTATAAATTCTGACACCATGTAATATTCTTTGTATATCTTATATACTATTAAAGTTGGTCCATGCGATTCACAAATGTGAATATAATAAGAGAAAAGACACAAGTGTGTTCTAGTCAGTTTTATTATCTGGACTGATGCATTGGCGGGAAATCTCCCAGGATATAACATTCTACAGGCACAACGTGGTCAGTGGAAATTTACAGAAATGAGTATTAAGGTTAAAGGTCATATGAATATAAAATAACTCAATATCATTACAGGTACTGTGACACTTCTTTCCTATTAATTCTAAAATAACTTTGAATTAACAAGATACCTTTGTAAAGCCACTGAAGATCAAATGTGTTGCTCCAGGCTGCTCCTCATTGCTTTGTGTCTGCAAAATAATAATTCTTATTTAATGCTGTTTCTGTTATGAACTGTCATTCTCCTAATAGCATGTTACTCTAGACTGTCTAGTTATGGTTATATAATTATCTACTGCACCATGAAAGCTGAATTACAACAATGAAGGAATGAAACTTACTAATAAATCAGTTACTGTTAATCTGCTCCACATGTGACACACAATGAAAATTGTTTATAGCATGAAAGTTGTAGTAATAGGTACCTCAGGTTATCTATAGTTTGATTGATGTAATATTGTACATAATGATATTGTACTTACTGATTAGTTACTATAATTTTTTTCTCAAACTTAAAATTTCTAACATAATGTATTTAAGAAATGATGAAGATCTTCCTACATTCTTTATATTCCTACATTCTTTATATGTACATTGTACATGCAGCTTTCTTTTTAGTCAAGTTACAAACAAAACAAATATAAAACACAATTTTATACAATACCATATTTTTACTGTCAAAAAACTAAACAGTTTCTGCATAAATAACAATAATTATTGTATGTAAAAGTTGTTTACCTGAAACTTTGACTGGGAATGATTCTGCTGTTTATCTTCTTGTCTACACATTCACACTTCAGTTAAAACTTCTCATTTCTATTTACCACACTAATAAGACTTTAAATGTTTTCTTTGAGAAATCAAAAATATGCACCCTTACATTTTAAACAAAATATCTCCAGAATTGCTACAATATCAATAATTTCCTTTGTGTTTGCAAGCTTTAACTGACCTCAATTCCTTTGAATTCAAACTTTACAACGGTGTAACTGCATGGACAGTCCATTATAATTTTAAATTGTGAGGGATTTTCCAAAAACCATAGCACCCATCATTTTATTTTTTACATTTATTTGAATGTATAACTATATCTAATACCTAAATAGATTGAGTAGAATAAGCTTTTGAAAGATAATTTAGCATGCTATTTTAAGACAAATTCTACATAAAAACATGTATAATGTTGCCTCTCCCAAAATAATCAAATGGAACATTCTGGTCAGCATGAGTAAACTATTAACCCCCATTCATAGATTACTAGATAAGAGGGCTGTAGTTTTATCAGATCTGAGATGTATGCTGTGTTGTTAAATCTTAGAGGATGCAGTATTTACTAGCTAGTATTTACTTTACTTAACCTGATTATAAGAAATTATCAGGCATTATGAGCTATTTATTTTTCACACAATTATTTTTACAATAGATTTAAAGCCTCTGAAAGCATAGCACAAAAGATGTTAGAGACAATAATTTTAAACTCCACATATAACTAAATCTCATTTATGAGAAGTTACAATGCCAAGGAACCATAACTTTTTATTGCATGATTTGGGGTTTATTGCCATTTTTTACTTCTCTATGCTTAATTTTTGTCTTGGTCATTAAGCTTAAAAAGTACTGGAGATATTAATTTGAAACTTCACAGATATAGATCTTTTTGAGTAATGTGCTGTGTTTAAGAACCATAACTCTTTGCATACTTTTGGAGTTATTGCCCTTTGCATTTTTCACTTTAATTATTGTTAGCATTACATGAAAAGTGTTAGTACTCACCAGATATCAGTTTAAAGTAATATTGAAGAGACAATTTATTATGTCAATTAGAAGAAAAGACAAAAGTCAAACTTTATTCAAGATTGACATTAAATATCATAGAAGAAGCAACAAACTTTATGCAGAGATATGCATTTTCTGGGCATAGAAGAACATTTCAACTATTTAATTAATGTACAGATTATAACTAAAGAACAAAGTACACTTTAAAAGCCGTAATTTTATTTTACAAGCATAGAATGGAACATAAACATTTTGACTTGAAAGTCAAATTTTACATCCCTAAAGAAAAGTACTGCCATAAAAAATGGGAAGTTAAGTAACCCCATACTTTTCTAATTTTTCCTGATCATAATTATATGTGTTTAACGCCTGGAAAAGTGATTTTACGTCCAATTTCTGTGTCTTTTCCTGCTACTTTACAGCTGGAATTATCATACCGTTACTGTGAGGCAGTGACTTTGTATCAGAATTGTGTTCATGGCATTCTAGTATGTTTAAGAAATATGAGTTTCTGATAAAATTTTCTAACTGTTCAACTTCAATAAATTATATTTTTGATAAAAAGTTCACTTGATGCTTTGGTAGAGTACAAACTATAAACAGATTTATTTCAGTTTGGAGCTTTGACTTAAATAAATCTTAAACCCTGCAATGCACAATTATTAGATTTCTCAGTTTTTTCCACCAATTTTTATACAACCCAGAAAATAGTTAAGAGTTTCCCTTTTCGACTAAAAGTTATTCACAAAATTTTCTAAGTTTTTTTCCACTATTTTGCCACCCAGAAAATAGTTAGAGTTTCATTTTTCCACTAAAAGCCACTCATTTTCCACCTTCAAAATAAACTAAGTTTCATTTTTCACCAATTTCCACCCTTTTGCCACCATAAAAAAAGTCTATGTTCAAATTTCCACTCAATGCCACCTAAATCCCACCAAAGGATAGTGGCATTAGGTGGCAATTTTTTCACTACAGTGGAAAAAGAGTGGAATTTTGTCATTTTCTAGTTAATGCCACCTTTTTTACACTTAATGCCACCCTTTTCAGTGGAAATAGCTGGCAAGTAGTGGCAAATCTAGGGACGGGATAGCTCAAAAAGTCTTTTTCAACTTTATGTACCTCAAGAATCACTTAAAACTTTAAGAGGGGGTTGATAATAATTCATGGTCACTTTCCAAGACTCTAACATGGATTTCGAATGAAATAAGGCCCTTTGTGAACTCTTTGGTCAATATCCAAGACTGATAACTGTCATGTATATTATTAATTTGTATTTTTGTGAATGAAATCTTCCTCTTTGTTTATTTTTACATTATCCAGGCTGATGTTTTACTATAAAGCACTGACAATAGTCAAGCAATTTCTGTCAGGTATCAACAGCTCTTTAATATCATTTCTTTTGACAGGTAAAAGATCAAGAAAAAGGCTTGGTGCAACAGTTAAAAATAAAAAAGGAAAACAAGGTCGTGTTATTGATACAACTGTAATTGGAAGACATGAGAAGCAGTCATCTCTATCAACCCAGCATATCTTACCAAATACTCAAAGTGGGAAACCAAGCAGAATTTCAAGTGAACCATCCAGTAAGGGTCTACAAACTTCATTTTTGTCAAACAAAAGGCAAGATTCTGATGATGGTTTTGCCCAAAGTCAAGTACACAGTACACCATTTTCTAATGTACATAATTTGTACCCTCTTCGTGTTGCTAGTGCCAAAACTAACTCCAGTTCACTGCCTATATCTCACTATATGCAGGATAATCTAGCTTGTATTCCAAATACAACTGATTTAAACTCTCGCATTAGTATGGAGTCTCAGGTTCAGCCAGTAGTTATATATAAATTAGAAATGAATCCAAGAGTTAAATCAGCTACAAGTACTGCAGGTGAGAAAAATGCACTGGATAAAGAGAGGGATATCTCTAATGTTAACGAGGATATATCAGTAAATGCTGTATCCTGTAACTTACAGCATGTTCACAGATCAAGCAAAACTGTTATAAAATACCAACAAAATAGTTCATCTCAAGGACTCTCACCAGATTTACTTTCCAAACAGGCTGTTTTGACTTCTATTTATGGTGCAGTATATAACACAGCAGACAAACTGTCTGCACAGATGGAACAATTTAAAAAAGTGAAAAAAATCTTTTTGTCTGAGAAGCAATCTGGAACTATAAGAGAAAATGGAATGGAATTTCCTTGTGCACCACCAGCTACACCTACACCAGGTATAATAGTTGCTAAATTTTCAATCATTACATGTGCTTGAAGATACATTATTATTAATGCCCCTGGTGCTCTCTAGCTATTGAAACAATAGGTAACAGAAAATATATTCATTCCATCGCTCTTAGGCAGCTTTTAATTATTGTATGTACATGTAGCTTAAAGAATAATTGAAAGCCAGTGAGGCATTCATTTGTGAGGATGTCAGTTGACTATTTCTAGCTCAAGTTGTGATATGGGTTATCTGGGGTCAAAAACTAGGTTACACAGCCCAAATATGGAAAAACATTGTTAACACTCTAGTGATTATTTTCAGCCCAAATATCCTACAATGCATGATTTCTAGCTCAAGTATAATATAGATCATTAGGGGTCAATAACTAGGTCACACAGACATAATATGGGAAATGTTTGTTAACACTGTAGAGATTACATTTTCAGCCAAAATATCCTGAAATTTTGTTTGGATGATTTTTAGCTCAAGGTTTAAAAAATGGTGTCAAAAACTAGGTCACTCAGCCCAAATATGGAAAAATCATGAATTAACACTTTTTCAGATGCAGAATGGAATGTTGTGATATCTGCAGTTTAAAATTTACACATTATATCTGCTTAACAATATTAATTTTACCAGTCAATAAGAGCCTTAATAATCAGGTGAGTAATATAAGGGCCATCATAGTATTTTCTTTCTTTCAATATTGGAATAATAAACATGTTCCAGGCAAATATTTGTCAATTCTAATGGTAAATAACTTTCCTCTTTTCCCATTATGTTTGCAGAAATTTTTCTATTCAGTTTGGTTACATAGTGTAGCATTTTCTGAGAAAATATCTGGAAAAGTAAAAGAAAAATGTGTATGATAGGAATGCGTAGTTAAAATGAATAATATCCAATTGAATGGTAAATGTCTGGATGGTGAACTTTGTAAAATTGTTGCACGAGATCAAACATCTTTTCATGAGTTTGAGTTTCACAAGTTGTCTTTTTATGCTCCTGGGCATATAGTAATTGAACCATCCGTCTGTCTGTCTGTATGAGGTTACCCTAAACCAGCAATTTAATATATCTTAATTTCTACCTGTACCAAGGCTTCATAATTTCCACACTTACTTGTCAATACAAAGTACATAATTTCTTTTTAAAAAAATAGGGCCTTGTATGGTTAATCTATTCCAGCAAGTTGGATTTATTTTGAATTTCTCCTAATTACTTCATGTATTTAATAATATCTTTCATATTTGGCAGGTACACCTTTAATGGTCCTCTAACTTTTTGTGGAGAAATGGGTCACTAGGGTTAAGATAGCTGGTGTAAAAAATAAATTTATATACTTTTGCTCATACAGCATTTATTTTTTAATTGATGTCTTTCTTGTTTATTACTGACATGCGTAGGGAGGTCCTCTTACTTGGAATATAGTTAATGGTCATTTGGATCAAGGTCAAGGTCACCAATGCCAGAATAGAAGTGTAACCTATATCTATTGCCAAATGTCTTTTGTATTTGGTAGGGACATAAATTGAAAATTATTCTACTTTTGGATGGAGTTAGGATCATTTGGGTCACGGTCACCAGTGCTAGAAATAGATTTTTACACTTTTGTCCATACAGCCTTTATTTATTAACAGATGCCCTTCATATTTGGTAGGAAGATAACATCTCTTGTTTAAGCTATGTCTCTCATATCTGTTATAATTGATAATTTCTAACTGTCACAAAGCTTTCTTAATTAACAATTTGTAAATGACCATGACACACCATTTCAAAATATATGCACGATTAGAGTGTTATTGTGGTAATCCTTACAACATGCTTACTCTGAAGGGTACTATTAAATGTAATGAAAAACATCCCTTTATACTTTTAATGCATGGGTCTGTATGATTGTTTTTTCATTAAAGACAGTATGTAATATTGTTATATATGCATGAATATATATGTAATAACCCTCATAAAAAGCCTATTTAAGTACCTTTCTTAAATACGTTGACCTGATTTTTATTTGATTAAAAAAGAAACCTGTAAAACATAGGGTAAATCTTTATATAGACACTTATTGTCATTCCTAAAACATAGTCTAATATAGAACATTGTTTAATATTTTCAGATTTGATGAAGAAGCACGAATATATTCCATGTATGAGTGATATAAGGGTAAGAATTTTTTCATAACAACATCATAGTTGATAAAATATTTTATGTGAAGATAGTGGAATTGCAGATTAATTGTTAACAGAGTAAAACTCAAACTATTTTCGAATTGTGCAGTTTTAGAGCTTAGATATTTGGCACCTTGTTGTCCTCTGCAAAAGTTGTATAAATCATGTCCATGGGGTCAAATATACCCCCACAAAGAAAATTTTGCAATTGGAGTAAATGTTGATCTGTAGATTGGTCTGTTGGTTTTATGGTTTTAAATTTGACATATAGGATACATCAAAGGAATGCACAGGTCAAGTTCGGATTTGTTTTTGGTTCAATGATTTTTGGCAGAGAAATGTCAGTTTAACTTTTATTGGCATGGTCACATCATTTTATGTGGTGCAAAAATATTGAACCTTGATGCTGGTATCGAAATATATATTTGTATCATAATTGATTTATTTTTTTCATAGTTTTATCTTCCCTTTGTATCCAGTATTTAATTATTAATCCTCTGACAGCTCTTGTATGTATATGGGGGTGATGGATTTTTCTCATTTATATATTATTCTTCTCTATTAAAGCCATGAATGCTAAAACTTGGATATTGACCATGAAATTGTGTAGTAAACTAATCTACCAAATTTGTTCAAATTATAGCCCTTGAGTCTTAATTATATCCCCACATAGAATGGTCATGGATTTCCCTTATTTATTTATACTTCAACCTTCAACCCTGTGACCTATTTTGTATAACTACTTACAAAGTTTAGGGGGTTATATAGGAGTCAGCTTATGGATTGGTCAGTCAGTTGGTCCGTTGGTCCGTCGGTCGGTCAACATCATGGTTTCTGGACAATAACTAGAGTTTGGAATGAGGTATTGTAATCAAACTTGGTATATAGCAACCTTATGTGAAAACCCAGGTCAATTTTGCATTTGGACCCCCTGGGGTCAAGGTCACTGTTACTAAAAGTAGAAAAATGGTTTCCGGACAATAACTAGATTTTGGAATGAGGTATTGTAATCAAACTTGGTGTATAGCAACCTCATATTAAGACCTCGGTTGGTATTGCATTTAGACCCCCTTGGGTCAAGGTCACTGTTAATTAAAAAAAGAAAAAATGGTTTGCAGACAATAACTAGTTAGAAATGAGATATTGTATTCAAACTTAGTGTATAGCAAGCTTATATGAAGACCCCGGTTGGTATTGGATTTGGACCCCCTGAAAATTGTGTCTCTTTAATTACTTTTATATGTATAACTAATATTCATAACATTAAAATTTCAGTCTCAAAGGGCAGTAAAAAGTAGATTACAAGAGATGGAAAAAGAAGCTGCTAAAAAGCAAGAGAAACGAAAAGAGGCAAATGTTAAACTTGAAAAACAACAGCAGAAAGAAAAAGAAAAATTAATTAAGGTTAAACAAAGGAGAGAGGTAAATTTCATTTTTTCACCATGACACCAAATATTACAGCAACAGTGATAGATTGAGATAATTATACATAATTTTCTATTGGAGGGTAAAATATACATGTATGTTGTATTTAACAGTAATAAAAGTTACTTTTATGACCAGCATCAAGGACAAAACATTTTGGAAATTGTGTATTATCTGCATAGTAAGGAGGCCTGTCTAACAGTTTCAAAGCAATTTGTGAGTTTTGTTGTTCATGAGGTAATGTTTGAATTCAGATGCTCTCTTGCTCAAGTTTGAAAACAAAATATCTGATGTAAAAAACTAGGTCCTACAACCCAAATATGGGAAATCCTTGTTAACACTCTCAAGGCTACTATTTTGGCCCAAATGTCTTGAAATATTGTCAGAAAAGTTGTTTCAATGATTTCTATCAGATTCTTTAGTTCGTTCGAACCCCCTCCGTGGTCGAGGGGTTAGAGTCGATGACTTCTAATCCAGTTACCTGTCTGGCATGGGTTCGATCCCCGGGAGATGCTTTGGTAGTTTAGCGCGGAGGAAGGTAGTCAAGTACTGGTGTAACTCTCATGGTTAGGAAACTACCTGCCTATATGACTGAAATACTGTTGGGAAAAGGCGTAAAATGAAACAAACAAAATCTTAAGTTCGATTATAAGTCCTGTGGTATCAAAAACTAGGTGACAGCACATAACAAGAGCACCGCTAGGTGGAGCAAAATATGCCCGAAGTGATTTTTTTGTAAGGATGAAACATTTGTAAGACATGGGAATTTAATAAAGTATTACCTCCTTCAAATAGCAATCCTTTGAAGTTTGAATATTGTGGGCAATTCTGCCAAATGAGCCTTGCACAAACCAGAAAATTCAAGTGGTCCGACGGACCAGTGCATTTTAAAATTAGGTGGTCCTTGCCAAAATCAGGTGGTCTCGGACCAACGGACCACCGCTAATGTCGAGGCCTGTATTGTATTCAAACTTAGTGTATAGCAAGCTTATATGAAGACCCCGGTGGTATTGGATTTGGACCCCCTGAAAATTGTGTCTCTTTAATTACTTTTATATGTATAACTAATATTCATAACATTAAAATTTCAGTCTCAAAGGGCAGTAAAAAGTAGATTACAAGAGATGGAAAAAGAAGCTGCTAAAAAGCAAGAGAAGCGAAAAGAGGCAAATGTTAAACTTGAAAAACAACAGCAGAAAGAAAAAGAAAAATTAATTAAGGTTAAACAAAGGAGAGAGGTAAATTTCATTTTTTTACCATGACACCAAATATTACAGCAACAGTGATAGATTGAGATATTTATACATAATTTTCTATTGGAGGGTAAAATATACATGTATGTTGTATTTAACAGTAATAAAAGTTACTTTTATGACCAGCATCAAGGACAAAACATTTTGGAAATTGTATATTATCTGCATAGTAAGGAGGCCTGTCTAACAGTTTCAAAGCAATTTGTGAGTTTTGTTGTTCATGAGGTAATGTTTGAATTCAGATGCTCTCTTGCTCAAGTTTGAAAACAAAATATCTGATGTAAAAAACTAGGTCCTACAACCCAAATATGGGAAATCCTTGTTAACACTCTCAAGGCTACTATTTTGGCCCAAATGTCTTGAAATATTGTCAGAAAAGTTGTTTCAATGATTTCTATCAGATTCTTTAGTTCCTTCGAACCCCCTCCGTGGTCGAGGGGTTAGAGTCGATGACTTCTAATCCAGTTACCTGTCTGGCATGGGTTCGATCCCCGGGAGATGCTTTGGTAGTTTAGCGCGGAGGAAGGTAGTCAAGTACTGGTGTAACTCTTATGGTTAGGAAACTACCTGCCTATATGACTGAAATACTGTTGGGAAAAGACGTAAAATGAAACAAAATCTTAAGTTCGATTATAAGTCCTGTGGTATCAAAAACTAGGTGACAACACATAACAAGAGCACCGCTAGGCAGAGCAAAATATGCCCGAAGTGATTTTTTTTGTAAGGATGAAACACTTGTAAGACATGGGAATTTAATAAAGTATTACCTCCTTCAAATAGCAATCCTTTGAAGTTTGAATATTGTGGGCGAGATGGAACTTAAGTTATGCTCCAGAAACTGTTTTCAGTTTTAAGGTAATAGTGACCTTGACCTTTGACCCCAAATTCAATAGAGGTCTTCTACCCAATATGGACAATCATCCTATGAAGTTTGAACACTGTGGGCCAAATGGAACTTAAGTTATGTTCAAGAAACTGTTTTCAGTTTTAAGGTAATAGTGACCTTGACCTTTAACCTTGTGACCCCAAAATCAATAGGGGTCTTCTACCCAATATGGACAAACATCCTATGAAGTTTGAATACTGTGGGCCTAATGGAACTTTAGTTATGCTCTGGAAACCAAATTGCTAACGGACGGACGTTCTGACGCCAGGGGGTATAACATAATATGCCCGAAATGCTTTCGGGCATATAAAAAGGCATATATAGAAAAACCTTATTAACATTTGCACTATTTCAGGTGTAAATATTAATTTTATGATATCAGTTTTAGTAAATGACATTATGTCTGCCTATCATTCATTGCTAACTTGTAATTCAGAACCTTAATAATCAGGTGAGCGATATAAGGGCCATGATGGCTGTCTTGTTTCAAATTATTGGCCCCACTCGGGGAGAAATAGATATCCTTATATGTATATAGTAACTTTAAAAACTTCTTCTACATCCTTCCAGGCTTTAGCTTAGACATTTGGCTTGAAACATTGTCTAGTGGACCTCTACCAAGTTTGTTCAAATTATAGCCCTGGGGTCTAAAAAGGCCCCAACCCCTGGTAGTCATGAATTTTCGTAATACTTCTGTAGAAAAAAACTAACAAAAGCTAGAGCTTAGATATTTGGCATGGAACATTATATTGTTGACCTCTGCTAAATTTTTAGAATTGTAGCCCTGGCCAAATTGGCTCCACCTTTGAGGGGTTCATGGATTTTCCATATATGGATATTGAACAATGACTTCCTTTTCATTAACCATTGCTTTTCCTTAGCAACCATTGACTTCCATATCAACCAATGACTTTCCATAGCAACCAGTGACTTCCATAGCAAAAACAAGATTGCATTTGTAAAAAATGCTATGCCACCGCATAAATACAACACTAAAATAGTAATGTAGGAACACATTTTTTTTGTTTTGACCCCAGGGCTTTAATTTGAATAATCTTGCTAAAGGTTCACTACACAATGTTTACTGCAAAATGTCTCACCTCTAGCCTTTGTCAATTCGAGAAGATGATTTTTTAAAGTTTTTACTATCTACATGTAAGGAAAACCTATGACCCCGGGGCAGGGCTAGTTTTGACACTAGAGGCAAAATTTGAACAACTTTGGTAGAGTACCTATAGATGATTTTACCCAGCAACCTACTTTTTGGTAGTAAGAGCTTTGTGTATGAAATTTTTACTACATGCACAGGTTTCCAGCTGCAGATTTGAACTTTGATTTCAGTTGACATAGAAGTCTGCTTAGTCATGTTTTCAGAATTATGCCCTCTTTTCTATGTTGCTTTTATTTACTGTCCAGCACTGAGAAATGTGGACCACAGTTTATGGGGTCAGGCCTTGATTAATTACTATGCAGAGCTGAGTTATTTTGTATGAAGTATCACTTTGTGGTCCTCAACAAATAATGCATTGTATATAAATTATGGTAATTTTTTGGTACAACCTTTAGGGTTACAAAGTTTACACAGGCTTCTATAGGAAAATGCATTTAAATCTTCGTCTGTTAAACTGCATCTTCCTGAGCTTAGATTTTTAAACATATGTCCAAGCCTTGTGGACCTCTGCAAAATTTATATAAATCATGCCTGCATGATCTATGAGGCACCTAAATGTGTTCCAATTACTGGAATCTCTGCATCACTTAACTCCAAGCAGGTGAGGTGGATTTTACCTCTGGTGTTGCTTTAAGTTTGTAACACTGAGGTTAGCCAAAATCATCTTTCCAGTTTTGGCACAATATGATCTAAATTTTGTTGGTGTGCTGTAGAACGAAACAAAACAAACAAATAATGACCCAGAGGTAAAAATTACCCAGTCCCAGGGACAGAAATAGACTATTGAATATTACAAGACTTAGAGCTTAAATATTTTGCATGTATTAGTATCTTGTGGTCCTCTGCAAAAGTGACATGTATATCTAAATTTAATTTATGAAGATATTTATTGGAAAAGCGAATTTAAACATACCTCTATGAAATAACATTTATAATAGCATTGCATAGTAGTAGACCTCAAAAAATCTTCTCCTCAGAAATACAGTACATGGCCTAGTTAGCATGCTAGCCTAATAGATCTCTACTGAGCTCTATTAACAAAATGCCCAGACCCAAATGTTACACACTTACATGTACCTGTTTATGACCTTTTCCAGCAGTTGATCTCAGGTGAGCGATCTAGGGCCATCATTACCCTCTTATTTTGATAAGAAATCATTATGAGTTTCTTTTCGTTTGTTTATAAATTTTTGCTTTTGTTTATTTCAGATATATGCGTTGAACAAAGTTATGACAGATCTTGAAAATAAACGATTCATGGACTTTTGTCAAGGAAAAGGATTGAATGAATTATAGCATTTAATTAAAATTATTAAGTGTGTGTTCGTAAGTGTGTTGTTTTTTGTAATAAAAAAGAATGTCAATATCTTTTAAAAGAAACAAAAACCTTTATATTGTCTAATTGTAATAAAGGTGAGTAAATGGAGCAGTGGTGATTTGTCAAAAACAAGTAACATTGGACAGTGTACATGGTGTAAAGAGACTCAGCCGACCCCCATTGAAATAAACATGTATAATTGTGGACAAATAAATATTTTTATTTATGTTAATGGAGTATTCAGGTTTTAGAAAGGTTGATCTTCCTACAGGTACATAAGGAAGCAGAATTTCAAAATCTAGCAGCATGTTTACTCATAGTTGTCGTTACGCTGTTCATTGTTGCCCCTCCCCCTTGTACCTTGAAGTATAAACGATATACCCTAGTCAAAAACTGCTTAATGGTACCCAGAAATACTTACATATATTGGTACTAGGTTATAAAAATACTCCCAGATTTGCTCCTGCTGTGTTATAAACACAAGGAAAAATGCAGTTTGTCTGCAATATTGGAAGCAGAAACGCTGTTAAGGTCCACATTTGGGTTCACCAGAAAAAACATAGTTAGGCAGCATACACATGTGACACCTGCAACATGAGCATTCAATGAAAGAAGCAATTTGAAGACATATGGCTATACACTGAGGGCAGAAGAACTACACCTGTCCTTGTGGGAAGAGGTTCATGCATAGATCTAACTTGAACAACATTTTAAGAGATGCCACCCAAGGATTTTGACTTTGCTGTAAAAACGTTTCACAAAATACTTGACAGGGACATTACCAGTGTGATTTATCTCATGCACGAACTTTAATAGCCTTTTCACACGTTTTGCACATGTAAATAATAGAAATCCATCCTGAAAACAATATTAAAAATAAAAAGATGTTAACTACATTTTAAGAGCATAAAACTCAATTAAAACCCCATCAACTTCGTTAATATAAAGACAAAGAAAATAAAACACAATATGCTTTCATGAAGCCATGTTTTATATTTGGGTTTCCTTTACTACACACTTTTCTGTTATATTGGTTTTGCTTCTGATAAATTCACCAACACAATCTAAGTTTAGATATTAAAGGTAAAAAATATGAACTAAAGGTGTTATTGGCGTTTACGTAGAAACAAGAGATTAATGTAAGAATGGCACTGATAATTCAGTATTTTTTGAAAACAACTGATTAAGCAACAAAAGTAAAATATCATAAATTAAGTTATTTTCTCTTTTAAATATACATATACACTTTTATCTCCTTTCAATGTATATGTATTAGAAACTGTGCATAAAACTATAAGTACTGTGCTGTTTACTTTCCGGAAATTGCTCGTTTTACACAAAGAACATTTTACACTAAGGATCTTTCAACAAGATTAAATATGGACTGCTACGAGAAAAGATCAATACTCTGTTTGATTTTGTGTTTTTAGTGAAGAAAGAAAGCTCATTTTCATTCATTTTGGTACCAAATTATAACGTCTCGTGTGATTTACTAAAAAACTAATTGTGTATTTTTCATGCAATGTTTTCCAAAACCATAAAACAGGAGAATGCATTTGGAATTGGTATTTGAAGAAAGTTACTGTGCATATGACTATAGATTAGGTCTAGTTTGGATTTAGAAAACATTTGTCTTTTAAATATATCAAAATATTGAAAAAGTTACCAAGGCTCAACAGTCACTAATTCGTTTGTATTACTTTAAAAAGTCACATAACCTCTGCCCTGTTAACTTTATATAACAAATAAAACAGAATTGAACTTGAAATTTATGTTGCATTAATTCATGTAGTTGGTACCGTAAAATTCCTATTAAAGGCCCCGGGGGGCTAAACATTTTCCAAAAGAGGGGCTATTATTAAAACACTTTTTTCCTAAATCCAAAAATCATTGTAAATACATTTAGTGTAAGCAAGTGTTGGTAATAGCATTAAAAAATGTTAAGGTTTTAAAGTTCATATGATACATTTTTGTGTTTACTTAAAAATAAAATGGATTCTGAATGATTTGAATAAAATTATGGATTTACTCATGAGTTCAGCACAGATCAGAAGATTTTTTCCATATCAAAAAGCCTGGGGGGCCTTTATTAGGGCAGGGGCGTTTATTAGGAATTTTACGGTATGTATCAGTATTTACTGGTTACTTTGGTAAGAAACGCGTCATATATCTTCAATAATGCATGTAAGCTTAAGCTATGGTCATAGCTGATGCATATGTTAGATAAAGCTATGGTCATAGCTGATGCATATGTTAGATAAAGCTATGGTCATAGCTGATGCATATGTTAGATAAAGCTATGGTCTACACTGATGCATATGTTAGATAAAGCTATGATCTACGCTGATGCATATGTTAGATAAAGCTATGGTCTACGCTGATGCATATGTTAGATAAAGCTATGATCTACGCTGATGCATATGTTAGATAAAGCTATGGTCTACACTGATGCATATGTTAGATAAAGCTATTGTCTACACTGATGCATATGTTAGATAAAGCTATGGTCTACACTGATGCATATGTTAGATAAAGCTATGGTCTACACTGATGCATATGTTTAGATAAAGCTATGGTCTACACTGATGCATATGTTAGATAAAGCTATGGTCTACACTGATGCATATGTTAGATAAAGCTATGGTCTACACTGATGCATATGTTAGATAAAGCTATGGTCTACACTGATGCATATGTTAGATAAAGCTATGGTCTACACTGATGCATATGTTAGATAAAGCTATGATCTACACTGATGCATATGTTAGATAAAGCTATGATCTACACTGATGCATATGTTAGATAAAGCTATGATCTACACTGATGCATATTTTAGATAAAGCTATGATCTACACTGATGCATATGTTAGATAAAGCTATGATCTACACTGATGCATATGTTAGATAAAGCTATGGCCTATGGTGATGCATATGTTAGATAAAGCTATGGCCTATGGTGATGCATATGTTAGATAAAGCTATGGTCTACACTGATGCATATGTTAGATAAAGCTATGGCCTATGCTGATGCATATGTTAGATAAAGCTATGGTCTACACTGATGCATATGTTAGATAAAGCTATGGCCTATGCTGATGCATATGTTAGATAAAGCTATGATCTACGCTGATGCATATGTAAGATAAAGCTATGGTCTACACTGATGCATATGTTAGATAAAGCTGTGGTCTACACTGATGCATATGTTAGATAAAGCTATGGTCTACGCTGATGCATATGTTAGATAAAGCTATGGTCTACGCTGATGCATATGTTAGATAAAGCTATGATCTACACTGATGCATATGTTAGATAAAGCTATGGTTTACACTGATGCATATTTTAGATAAAGCTATGGTCTACACTGATGCATATGTTAGATAAAGCTATGGTCTACACTGATGCATATGTTTAGATAAAGCTATGATCTACACTGATGCATATGTTAGATAAAGCTATGATCTATGCTGATGCATATGTTAGATAAAGCTATGATCTACACTGATGCATATGTTAAATAAAGCTATGGTCTACGCTGATGCATATGTTTAGATAAAGCTATGATCTACACTGATGCATATGTTAGATAAAGCTATGATCTATGCTGATGCATATGTTAGATAAAGCTATGGTCTACACTGATGCATATGTTAGATAAAGCTATGGTCTACACTGATGCATATGTTTAGATAAAGCTATGATCTACACTGATGCATATGTTAGATAAAGCTATGGTCTACACTGATGCATATGTTAGATAAAGCTATGGTCTACACTGATGCATATGTTTAGATAAAGCTATGATCTACACTGATGCATATGTTAGATAAAGCTATGGTCTACACTGATGCATATGTTAGATAAAGCTATGGTCATAGCTGATGCATATGTTAGATAAAGCTATGATCTACACTGATGCATATGTTAGATAAAGCTATGGTCTACACTGATGCATATGTTAGATAAAGCTATGGTCTACACTGATGCATATGTTAGATAAAGCTATGATCTACACTGATGCATACGTTAGATAAAGCTATGGTCATAACTGATGCATATGTTAGATAAAGCTATGGTCTACACTGATGCATATGTTAGATAAAATACTTTAGTCAATTGTCATCTCAAATTCGCCAAAATTTTGTTAACTTATTAGATCATAAACAACTGCGCAAGAAAATCCAAATTTGAGAAGATCGCTCATTGAAAGTCAATATTTTGACAAGTAAGCAATTATTAAAGTTCTGAGATTTTGTATCGATCTATAGGTATGTTTCAAACATATCCTCATACAACAAAAGGCCTCCTCCATGTCCTCTATTTCTGCTTTGTATTTTAGACCAAATTCTTTCATGAGAATTCATCAGTTTTTAAAATGAACATATGGGCAGCCGCAATTTTTCATTGATATCCTTCAATTAATCAATCATTTGACCATCAAATTTCCAAATATTTGTTCAAACTGGGGAAATATTTTATGCCCCTGCCCTCCTCCACCCACAAATGGGAAGGCATAAAGTTTTTGTAATGTCCTTCCGTCCGAAATTTCTGTCCAGTTTATAGCTTCACAAAAAAATTATACAAAGGTTCTTGGCAAGTGTGAGATACATTATCCGATATTACATATATTTATATAGCAGATATTAAAGTGTTCTAGAACAAAATAATATTATTCATGAGATAAATGGTCTTTCTAAATCATTTAGAACTTTATAAAAAAAAATTCAAGCAGCATTTTATAAGAATACCCAGATGTTGATACATTTCTATTGTTTTTATCAACATTTGAAATACAAATGGCAACTTCACCCATTATATACTTATAAATACACTTAAAGAACCTTAGACAAATTAAGAATTAAATTTCTTCTGAACCTTGAAAGAATGATGCCAATTTGTCTCCATACACATCCCATTATCTGTTAATAAATCTAGTTCATTAACTAGAACAAATCATTCATGAGCTGTACGTGTTAATTTAACAGGGAAATTATTAAAGCATATCAGCCTAGATAGATCTTTATAGGCTTTGACAGCAAGCTGTTTAAAACAAGTATAAGTGCAGTCCCTCTAGCCTTAGTCCTTTATAATTGCGATCATTTCATTGTTCGTTGTCCTAACAGTCCAGACCATTTTTGTTAGCAAAGTATTTTACATGTTACCAATTTTAGCAAGGACCTGGTATTCTAGCTAGACTGCAACAATATTTGATATAATTCTGGATCACATGTATCCTAGCTAGACTGTAACAATATTTGATATAATTCTTGATCACAGGTATCCTAGCTAGACTGTAACAATATTTGATATAATTCTGGATCACATGTATCCTAGCTAGACTGTAACAATATTTGATATAATTCTGGATCACAGGTATCCTAGCTAGACTGTAACAATATTTGATATAATTCTGGATGACAGGTATCATAGCTAGACTGTAATAATATTTGATATAATTCTGGATCACATGTATCCTAGCTAGACTGTAACAATATTTGATATAATTCTTGATCACAGGTATCCTAGCTAGACTGTAACAATATTTGACATAATTCTGGATCACATGTATCCTAGCTAGACTGTAACAATATTTGATATAATTCTGGATCACAGGTATCCTAGCTAGACTGTAACAATATTTGATATAATTCTGGATAACAGGTATCATAGCTAGACTGTAACAATATTTGATATAATTCTGGATCACAGGTATCATAGCTAGACTGTAACAATATTTGATATAATTCTGGATTACAGGTATCCTAGCTAGACTGTAACAATATTTGATATAATTCTGGATCACAGGTATCCTAGCTAGACTGTAACAATATTTGATATAATTCTGGATTACAGGTATCCTAGCTAGACTGTAACAATATTTGATATAATTTTGGGTCACAGGTACCACAGCTAGACTGTAACAATATTTGATATAATTCTGGATTACAGGTATCCTAGCTAGACTGTAACAATATTTGATATAATTCTGGATCACAGGTATCCTAGCTAGACTGTAACAATATTTGATATAATTCTGGATCACAGGTATCCTAGCTAGACTGTAACAATATTTGATATAATTCTAGATCACAGGTATCCTAGCTAGACTGTAACAATATTTGATATAATTGTGGATCACAGGTATGAAGGATGAATGGATTTTTCCCTGTAACCTGAGCTTGTTTGAGCTTTTGTAGTGAAGTCCAGATAGAGAATTTCCCCAGATACAGCATATTTTTTTAATTGTCAGTTGCTTGTTGCTCCGCCAAATAGTTGTAATTTTCTACACAACGGAAACGAAATTTTAAAATCATGCATGACGACTGTGACCTTGACCCAAAGAAACCCAAACCTGCCCTATGCAAGTAATATGGTAAATTAGAAGTAGTTTCAATTTCTGTCAATCTGATAAGAGCCCACACAAGATTGCTAACAGACTGATGAATGGACGTCCAGGTGCATATATCATTAAACGCTAAAATGTTTTGGGGCTATAGAAATTAATCAGCCCACCTAATAAACATGGTTTGGCCAAAACTGATCTGGTAATTCAAACCATTGTAGGTTAGAAATGTAAGATGCCAATGTATTTACTCTAACTGTATGCGTGAAGAAACTGATAAACTTACTCTAACTAACTGTATATATGAAGAAGCCAATGGGATAAATAACCAAAAACATGTTCTCATTTATTCAACATTTTAATTTTAGTCATGAATCACTCAAATTACTTATATGTTTATGCAATAAAATAGGACCATAAAATATATACATGTTGCATACATTTAGAATACAAGGGTTTAAAAGAAGTCTTCTATGTGTTGTGTTCAAACAATATGTTAGCACTTTCTCAGTTATAATTGTACATGATGAGACAATATGACATACCATTCTATACCTGATCATCTTCAAGTTTAATTAAATCAACAATTATCAGAATGTTAAGCCTTTATAAAACAAGTTTTAGCACAAATCATTCTATTCTAGTGAACAAATAATTTCATATTGAGATGGGGGAGGATTTACTGACAAATCTGTCCAAAAAAATATGTTGGTAAAGATTTCCAACGCGAAAAATAAAGTAGTGACATCTGGTCAACCACTTGTACTCTCTCAAAACCTTTCTATACTGACTGTGTTTCTATAGTTGCCTTCAACTTGTAAACAAAGTTTTCCTTATTTCTTAACAGTTTTCTTTTGAACAAAGTTGACATTATATGTACCCTTTCACAGATATCACTCATAACTAAAGGTGATTTATACCCGACTCCACACCTTAACTTATTGAAAATTAAGTGGTCTGAAGCAAAATTTGAACTGACCTTTATTTTATGATGTTTCATCTGTGTACCAAAAATATTACATTTAATTGCCTGGTCAAAATATTATAATAATCTACCATTACCTTGTAAAAAAGAGAGATACTTTATCCTTCAGAATCCAGTTTTTTTTAGTAACAGTGACCTTGACCCCAGGGGGTCCAGAAGCAACCCTAACTGGTATTTCCACATATGGTTGTTAAATACGAAGTTTGATTACAATAACTCATTCTTTTGAACAAAGTTATTGTTTGGAAACCTTGAGGTTGACCGATTGACAAGCTGACTTAAGGTCTATATTCCCATCTGAACATCATTTATAAGGCTATAACAAGTAAGACAGACATCCTGCAATGAACAAATATGCTGAAAGTTAACTATTTTAGCCATTTAGACAGAGTTGGCATTAAGTTCTTACTACAGATCTGTAACAGCAGAGAAACTCATTCTCAGAATTACAAAGTGCATAGAATTACTGAAGGATACCAAAAAAGTGCTGAACAGTGCATGGTAGTAAAACAAGAGCCTGGATAATGAAGGAATTAACAAGAAAGAAGATTTCATTGAAAAAAATACATAACATAGTTTGAAAGTATTTTCTAAGTTCACAAAGAGCCATAATTCAGTCAAATCCATGCCATGCCTTGGATAGTGACCCCCAAATATGATCCTGAACATTGTTAAGTTTTAAGTCAAAGAGCCCTTTTATGATCATAAATAAATGCTTGAAATTACAAGCAATTATCTTTAGTGGTTGATGAAACGTTGTTGCACATTAACCAAAGTGTAACACAGACAGCCAAGTGAGAAGGATACCCCACTTCTCTACAAATAGAAAACCAAAAGATATTAAATACAATGATATAATATACTAAAATTCCCTTTAATAAAAATAAGCAAAGAAAAAAATTTAATAGAGAAGTGTATTTTGTTACGTAAACTTTCACTGTAAATTATATTTTCTGGTAGACTCTTTAGGTATATTTTGGTGTCCATAATAATACTAAACAGTAAATCATTACTTTACTACATCCTTTTATGTTGCTGTCTGATGATTTATTTACTTTCATGATGAATTTTCATTATAAAACAAAAACAATTTGTTCAATATATAATAAAGAATATGAAACATGAATTTATGAGACAGCACCCTTGACTAAATTAAATCTGGATGCAGTAAAGAAAGACACACACTGAAAGGAATCAGTCATAATAAATATATTTCTTCATCAATAAATGCATCAAGAAAAGCTCAAATTATAAAAAAAATTTGTACCACACAATATGCATGTAAATGAAAGTAAAACATAAAATGTTAACAGAAATTTTAGTGCAGACATTATTTGAATACAATCCCTTTAGTTACAAAGACGAGTAAAAAACCCCATCTAGGTTCAATGAGGAGATAACTCCTGAAATACATTTAGTTATGAACCTTATCATAAATGGTTTGAGTGCTGATAATGATCATATATTTAAAGACCATGTAACGCCCTTAAGAAATCTAGAGATTATAGGAAAAAATAAACAAGACCTGTTCACGGACAGCACACTGCACTTTTCTATGTGCTAAATGGTTAAAGAAGCAACATAGAAAAGGGGACATAATTCTGCAAAAGTGCTTAGCAGACTTACCAGCCCTGAACATAAATATGGGATTTGAATATCACTTGAGAAATAATGAAGTTAGAGCAAGAATTTAAAGGAAGTTAAAACAACATTATTTTTCAAGGTAAATACTCAGGGGTGATAATGCTGAAAGTTTATAATAACATACCAGGGTGATATTGGTGATGATAAAGTACATATATTTGGAGTTTGACCTAAATCCCTCGGACAATAAATTAAGAAGTTAGACTGAAAAAAAATTAACTGTAAAAAAAACATTCATCAGTAATATGGATGCATAATTCAGGGTGAATTTTCAATATAAAATGGCATAATCTTGTCAAAATCAAACACTGTTTTATACATTTATTTAGGTACACACAAGTGGGGGTAATGGCTTTAAATAAGTATTGTAATATTCAGATTATATATGCATTTAATATAAATTTCAAGCTGAAAATCTAGTCACATTTAAGCCATTCTTCATACAAAGTGAATTGAAAATTTCTTCATAAACAAAATATTTTTACATCTTATTAATATTGGTTGCTCCTTTTAAAACCAGTTATAATAATAAGTCTTAAATATCCAAGATAGATATATGTTACTTAATAAACAAAACAGAAACAAGAATAGTATATATCTTTGCTTTTTATGCGATAAAAACACCTGCACAACAACTACAAACTGTACAGTATAGAAAAGAACCCCAACAAATTCCTTGAAAATTAAATGTATTTAAGAGATAAATTTCCTTCAACAGTTTAATATAATATCCTCCATTGTAACATAAATGTGAATGTTAATGTGAAGGTTGTACAGAACTTGTTCCTGGAAATGTTCAAATCACATACAAGTACAATCTTGCAAAATATTACACAGCACAAATTGTTTCTGGCAATCAATTAATCCATACTCATTTACTTGCTGCAAATTTAAAGGCTTTCAGGTATCATCACTTGTTACACTGTGCTAAATCTCCAGTAATATATTGCAAATATATGTTCACATTCTGCAAACAAACAAAAATAAAATAATTCCTTTTATTGCATACTTCTGTTTAGTGACATTGTGCCCACCCAAGTGCATATGATGACCCACAGAAATTTATATTAATAACATTTAGAATTTATTTGTATTGTTCATTTTTTAAACATCATTTATAACAAATTGATTGTTTACCATGTTTATTTTATATATTCCTGACAGTTATAGGTGTTGTAAATAGTATTATCATTTATTAACATGAGCAAGTAGGGAAGGGTGATTTAAATTAACTTGCTTTGAAGAAGTTGTTTGTTTTCATTTGGACTTTTTACAAGTGTTTGTGTTATATTCAAAATCTAATAAACTTTTTTACAAACAGATTCTTCTACATGTTTATTAGACTCAAAATATGCCCTAAGATTATACAATGAATCAATAGCTTCTGTTTTAGATCCTGGTTGGGAGGGGGGAGGGGGAATCTTTAATAATGTTTCTTTTTATATCTTCAGCAGTAAATTTATGCATTATTACTTCAAAGTCTAATCAAGAATGACAAACCTATGCACAAAAGAAGACAATCGATTAACAATCGTCATATTTGACAAAGTGTGACCTATAAACTGGAGACCTGACTCAGATGCATGACACATTGTCATTATGTCCAACACATTTATGCTTTATAATTTTCAAATCCATCTAAGAATGACTGAATTGTTGACCACATTTTTGCTACACATTTATAAATTATTTTAAAATCCATCCATAAATGGGCAAAGTTATGAACCAGACAAAATTTGGGCGGAAGGACATCTGGCTAAAATGAAGTAAGGGGTCATTGCTATTGTTTTTTTGTTTTTGTTTTTTTTTTGTTCGTACAAACATTCAATGAAAAAAATATTGTATCAATTGAGAGTTAAATTTGAGGCAATACATACCTATCTAGATGTAAATTGATATTATGATGTCTGTGCTCTCTTTTGCAAAGCTTGTGCTAAATCATTCTGTAGATTTATTTTCTGTTTTTCATTCTGTAAAGGTTGAGTTGATCTAACACCATTTACAATGTCCCTTGTTTTGCCAAAGTAAATTTCATACAACGTACTGCGGATTTTGTTTTCCATATCCTTTAAAATGTTACAACATAAAATTAGGACACAAATAATTATTAACAAATTTATAGAAGGCTTGTCTAAATACATGTACACTACAGGAAAATGATCTTAACAGGGTTCCCACACTTCTTTCTTCTTCAATTCAAAAACTTTTTAAGGACCATGTCACTTTTTTCAAAGACATTTCTTTTCCACTTGTGATCAATTCTGGATGAAATTTTAACATTGTAGAAATGGGGCATCATATAGATTGCAAATAATTACAGATACAGATGATTTTGACAGGGTTAGCATGGTATTAGAATACTGCACAATTTTTATCAATATTACCAACACAAGGTAATGCTTTGGAATTCAACACCAGTTGATCAACATACATTTTCTGTACTTCTTCAACCATAAGGGAGACAGAAATTTTTTTTCAAAAATTAAGTTTTCAGGTTTTTTTTTTTACAGATTCTAACTGATGTGTTGTATACATCTAAGGTTTCTTGAAGATATAAATTTGTTATCCAGAAAGAATTCTTAGTGTGAAAGTAAGTGTATTTTTGTACATGTATTTCTTTTTCTCTTAACATCTCATATGATAACAAACATACATGCATGAATCTGAAAGTGGCATAATTATAAACTAGCTCTGAATGCTTCTTTGCACATACAGTCTAACTTGCCCATGCGACCATGTGTATTAAGAGACTTTTGTCTTATGTGACCACTGTAAATTCCTCCCATCATTCTCTCTCTATATCTTTAATATATTAAGTGACTTTTACTCAATGCAACCGCTAATTAGTCATTTAATTGAATTCAATCTTTTCATCAAGCAATCACTTTTACCTGTCAAGTGTCAACAATCAAACCACAATATATAAATGTGTGAAAACTTTATTTCCCAAGCAAAGAAAAAGTTAAGTGTCAGGTGACAAGTATTATCCAATAAAATAGATTGAACATGCAACGCTGCACCCCTACTGAGATGGTGTATACACTTCGCTGTTGATTCAATATTTAGACTGCATTGAATTGACCTTGAACTTGATCAACTAAATTAATCATTACAATTAGATGTATCTTGTTTATTTCAAATGAAAATGCACAATAGAAAGCATCTACACTAATTAGATTTTTCCTGTCGGGGACAAGGTTTAGCAACAAAGAAGCTTAAAAATTCTGGAAAAATGTCAAACATGTACTTAATGGATCAAAACAGATTTGTCAATAAATATCAGAAAATTATATTTTTAATTTTAGCATCTGTTTAGATTATCTGAGCATTATAATTATTAAACATTTATATAAATGAAGTTGAAAAACTTCCCCAACACAAAGGAAAGTTGTCATGTATCAATTTTGACTTGTTTCTTATGCTTTGTCTTAAGAGACCGTTTCATTAAGCTACCATTTTTGGTGTTTCTCATGCCTGGTCGCTTAATACATGTTTGACTAAAAGTATATTTTTACCTCCACTAACTTTCCAATATTGACAAGGTGAGGTGTTGCTTCATTCACAGTAGCATCTTGTTCCACCTGACGTGTCAGACTACCACCTAAATTCATGGTCCCAGAACCTTCTCTTGTAGTCTGTAGCCATAACATCACAGTTGATGTCAGTTTGTAATGGGCACTTTTCCCACTTGATTTATCCTACAACAACAAAAACTTACACACATAAATTTGGTAATTTTCATATGAGATAAACTAAGATTTTGATGTGCCATAAACCTTGAGACTTTCAATAAACTCTGAACCTTAAATTGTCAAATGTCAACTTTGAGATTTTGGACATTTCTTGACAAAAACAAAATCTTATTTTCAAAAAAAAAATACAAATGAGCCGCGTCACGACAAAACCAACATAGTGCGTTTGCAACCAGCATGGATCCAGACCATCCGCGCAGTCTGATCAGGATCCATGCTGTTCGCTTACCAACCCTTTTACAAGTAGAAAAACTGATAGCGAACAGCATGGATCCTGATCAGACTGCGCGGATGCACAGGCTGGTCTAAATCCATGCTGGTCGCAAACGCACTATATTAGTTTTGTCGTGACACGGCTCGCATGTATTTTGTTTCAACAAATCAACAAATAACAATTCTTATTCATTCATTCTCATAGCGAACAGCATGGATCCTGATCAGACTGCGCGGATGCGCAGGCTGGTCTAAATCCATGCCGGTCGCAAACGCACTATGTTGGTTTTGTCATGACACGGCTCGCATGTATTTTGTTTCAACAAATCAACAAATAACAATTCTTATTTATTCATTCTCATAAACAGAATAAGATTTAATTAAAAAAAAAAATTATCAAGTTTAACGGAAATATCAATTTGTTAACACTAAATCTAATTTCTTCTAAACAACATATTACTTGGTTTATTCAAAATAACATCAATCTCTCATCAAAATGAATGTAAATTTGTTTTAATGTGAGCAAAAAAGATTTATAGAAAATCATGCTTACCTGTACTTCTATAACATGTATTGAGTCCCAGCAACCTTTTATTTTCTTTGAACCATCTCCTGCTTTCTTTATAAGAATAACACCAGCAAAGCCATGATCCAGGTCCCACAGATAAACAGAGGAAACACCACCCTCAAAATACCTGTAATAAACATAATTTACAAGTTTATGTTTAACATATACACAAGTTTCTATTCAATATATATAACTCTACTGACCTTTGAGACTTTAATATATTATTCTCGAATTATCTCAATTTAAGAAAGATTCAATAATTTGACCTTGATGGTCATTCAAAATTTCTGTTTGAAACAAATGTTTTGTCCAAGTAAAAGTCTAATTCTTAAATAACTAGAACTATCACTGAAGTAATACCCCCACCTACCACCTCAACTATTTGAAAATTAAGTTGTTCTGAAGACAACTCTGAACTGGACCTATGAGGTTTCATTTGTGTTCCAATAATAATTACATGTACAATAAATTGCCTTGCAAAAAGAGTATAATCATCTGCTAAGCATTATTTTGGTAAAAAAAAAAAGGAGATAATTGAGTAAAAGAAAAATTATTAATATGAAGACAATTTGAACAAAAGGACTAAATTATGTCAAACTACCTATAAGAGTTATCAAACTTAAAACACATAAGTTAAAAAGGGGCATAACATATTATGGTGAACATATGTGACAAGTTTAAAATGGACATGCAGACAAACAGCAAGTATATTCCCTTTTTATTAAACAAGAGGGCCATGATGGCCCTGAGGTCGCTCACCTGTATATAGCCCCCCATCCCCCCGGGCCAATTTTTACCCAAGGGCTTTTATTTGTTTATTTGAACAGACTTGGTAGACACCCATAAAAAGATGTTTCATGCTATACATCTAAGTTCTAGCTCATTGGGTTTTTTAAAAGAAGATTTTTTAAGTTTTTACTATACACATATAGATAAAAACAATGACACCCCTGGGGCAGGGCCAGTTTTGACCCCCGGGAATTTATTTGAACAAACTTTGTAGATATTTACTTAAAGATGTTTCATGCTTAATATCTAAACTCTAGCTATTTAGGTTTTTTCAAAGAAGATTTTTAAGTTTTTGCTATACACATATAAGGAAAATCAATGACCCCCTGGGGCGGGGCCAGTTTTGACCCCAGGGCTTTTATTTGAACAAACTTGGTAGACACCCATTAGAACATGTTTCATGCTAAATATCTAAGCTCTAGCACTTTGGGTTCTTTAAAAGAAGATTTTCTAAGTTTTTACTATATGCATATAGGGAAAATCAATGACCCCCCGGGGCGGGGCCAATTTTGACCCCAGGGCTTTTATTTGAACAAACTTGGTAGAAATTCAGTAGAAGATGTTTCATGCCAAATATCTAAGCTCTAGCTCTTACGGTTCTTTAAAAGAAGACTTTTTAAGTTTTTACTTTATGCATATAGGGAAAATCAATGACCCCCCAGGGCGGGCCAATTTTGACCCCAGGGCTTTTATTTGAACAAACTTGGTAGACACTCACTAGAAGATGTTTCATGCCAAACATCTTAGCTCTAGCTCTTTGGTTTCTTTAAAAGAAGACCTTTTAAGTTTTTACTATATGCATATAGGGAAAATCTATGACCCCCTGGGGCAGGGCCAATTTTGACCTCAGGGCTTTTATTTGAACAAACTTGGTAGACACTCACTAGAAGATGTTTCATGCTAAATATCTTAGCTCTAGCTCTTTGGGTTCTTTAAAAGAAGATTTTTTAAGTTTTTACTATATGCATATAGGGAAAATCAATGACCCCCTGGGGCGGGGCCAATTTTGACCCCCGGGCTTTTATTTGAACAAACTTGGTAGACATGCACTAGAAGATGTTTCATGCCAAATATCTTAGCTCTAGCTCTTTGGGTTCTTTAAAAGAAGATTTTTTAAGTTTTTACTATATGCATATAGGGAAAATCAATGACCCCCTGGGGCGGGGTCAATTTTGACCCCAGGGCTTTTATTTGAACAAACTTGGTAGAAATTCAGTAGAAGATGTTTCATGCCAAATATCTAAGCTCTAGCTCTTACGGTTCTTTAAAAGAAGATTTTTTAAGTTTTTACTTTATGCATATAGGGAAAATCAATGACCCCCCGGGGCGGGGCCAATTTTGAACCCAGGGCTTTTATTTGAACAAACTTGGTAGACACTCACTAGAAGATGTTTCATGCCAAATATCTTAGCTCTAGCTCTTTGGGTTCTTTAAAAGAAGATTTTTTAAGTTTTTACTATGTGCATATAGGGAAAATCTATGACCCCCTGGGGCAGGGCCAATTTTGACCTCAGGGCTTTTATTTGAACAAACTTGGTAGACACTCACTAGAAGATGTTTAATGCTAAATATCTTAGCTCTAGCTCTTTGGGTTCTTTAAAAGAAGATTTTTTAAGTTTTTACTATATGCATATTGGGAAAATCAATGACCCCCTGGGGCGGGGCCAATTTTGACCCCAGGGCTTTTATTTGAACAAACTTGGTAGACATGCACTAGAAGATGTTTCATGCCAAATATCTAAGCTCTAGCTCTTACAGTTCTTTAAAAGAAGATTTTTTAAGTTTTTACTATATGCATATAGGGAAAATCAAAACCCCCAGGGCTGGGCCAATTTTGACCCCAGGGCTTTTATTTGAACAACTTGGTAGACACTCACTAGAAGATGTTTCATGCCAAATATCTTAGCTCTAGCTCTTTTGGTTCTTTAAAAGAAGATTTTTTAAGTTTTTACTATATGCATATAGGGAAAATCTATGACCCCCTGGGGCAGGGCCAATTTTGACCCCAGGGCTTTTATTTGAACAAACTTGGTAGACACTCACTAGAAGATGTTTCATGCCAAATATCTTAGCTCTAGCTCTTTGGGTTCTTTAAAAGAAGATTTTTTAAGTTTTTACAATATGCATATAGGGAAAATCAATGACCCCCTGGGGCGGGGTCAATTTTGACCCCAGGGCTTTTATTTGAACAAACTTGGTAGACACTTATTAGAAGCTGATTCATGCCAAATATCTAAGCTCTAGCTCTTAGGGTTGTTTAAAAGAAGATATTTAAAGATTTTTCTTTTGGTTGCCATGGCAACCAGAGTTCTGCATGGAATTAAATTCTTTGAACAATTTTTAAAGGTGACCACCAAAGGAACATTCCTGTGAAGTTTGGATGAAATTGGCTCAGTGGTTTATAAGGAGATGTCATTTAAAGCAAAAGTTTACGGACGGATGACGGACGGACGACGGACGGACGGACGCCGGACGAAAAGCGATCACAAAAGCTCACCGTGTCACTTTGTGACAGGTGAGCTAAAAAAGGCAGGATACAATTACTAAAACCTACATTTCTCTATATTGGTCAAAGGCAGAGTTGGCATCAACTTCTAATTTACGTAGTTTATCCGATGGTATAGTGCCATCATCCAATGGAGGGTCATAGCTATTACTCCAAGGAGACCTGGAATTAAACAAAATGTAGCATATTAAAATTCATGAACAAACAAGGGAATGATAGACCATGATAGCTCAACTGAGATATAAATGATACCAAACTATAACATTGTTCAACCTGTATCCAGTATATTCTTTAAAGAACACTCCTAAAAAATATTGCTGTCTTGGTTTATACAGAATTTATTTTAGTTTGATTGTGTAGGAAGCTATAAGCTTAAAGACACACTTTCCAATCTGTTCCTGGAACCAACCAGTACTGAGCAATGAGTGTAAAGTTTCTTGCTCCAGGAAACAACGACTTGCCCCTGACTTGAACAAATTATCATTCAAATTCATATTTGACCTTGAGGATCAATTCAATTCAAAGGTCAAATATTGAATTTAGCTTAAATTGTTTTGACTTTCTTATTCATTTACATGACATAAGTGATCTTTTACCCAAGTTACATCAAATCTATAAACAGATAACAAAGATATGGCCAACTGTTGTGAAATTCACTAATTTGACCTTTGGAGTCAAGGTCAAATAAAGGTCAAAGTCAACTGAATATCCTTCCGCAAGTATGCAGACAATCCATTTTTTCAATAACAAACTTATTGCCAATTATAGAAAAAAACTGTGAAATAACAATAATTTGACTGTCAAGGTCACTTACGAGTCAAGGTCAAATTCATTTAATTGTCCTCAAGGTAGATGTGCTCAAGTATGAAGATATTCCTTTCACAAATACCAGTTACCAATTATAGCAAAAATCAAGCAAAGTTCAATAATTTGACCTTAAAGGGCAAGGTGAAGATGAGTAAAGGCCTCCAGTAAATTTTCACTGGTAAAAATACACAACTGGACAACTGGGTGAGTACAACAAAATGTCACATTAAAAATTATATGATCTATATTTTCCATCAGGGACCTACACCACTGTAATCTCTTGCTCCACTCAAAGTTAGAGGACAACCTAAGGTATCAATCTACTAAATATGAGACATAAATAAAGGCCTCATAAGCAAAATTGTAAAAATCTTTTTTTTTAAACAGTCTTATACCCTTGACCCCCAGTTATAATACCTACCAAGACATTTACGAAGATGGATAAAAAAATACATGGACTTTTGTTACATTAATTTTGTTTGCACAGATAATAAGGTAGTTATATATCGAAACAAAGCAACCATCTTTAATTGGTTAGTGCACTAGTACCAGTGCACAGTAATCACATCAAGATGACATTTCAACTTTGGCCTTCTGTGGGGGTAAGGATGAGTTTCTCTTCACCTCAGAGGACTACTATTTCATCTCAGCATGTAAAACGTCTCATCTGTGGTGATAATTCTGTCGAGGGAAGTGTTGGCCTGCTCCCCATAAAATCCAGAGAATTTTGATAGCTTTCTTCTTTTTCTACATCTTCAAATCTCGGCATCAACAGCACATGTACCTTTGTCATCTAAGTTGGTTTCTCAAAATTGATGTTGTCATAACTAATGCTTCTTGTGATGAAATGTTACTTACTGTTTACCTATAGTCCTCAACGATCAGACTTCACTGCCGCTACTGTCCCTGCATTAACTATTCTTTCTGTCCTCTCCCATTAGAAACTCCCTTCCATCATAAAATCATTTATGCCACTTCAAAATAAGAGATCTGCTTACATTTGAAGATGGATTAGTATCCTTCATCATTTTCATCATCTCTGTTGGTGTTTTCCCTAGGTCCAGACACAAATATTTTTGTATGGTTCTCTTCCTGCGCCAGTGCTGCCATTTATATTGTATAGTTTCTGTGTATGTATTGTTTTTTTTAAAAAACACAAATAAACTACATCTATGTAAACCTTTTAACATTTAACTGCTTGATGTATGTGCAAAGTTTTATTGATTTACATCGAATAGTTATGTAACAAGTCCACATTTTTTTTTATCCACCCTTGTATCTTCTTAATATGAAAGTATCAGTTCACTATATAAGTGGTACCGAGTAACGGACCCATTCACAATCACAAAGGACCTTCACAATTTTCAGACTGGGTCCGACGGACCTGTTCACAATTCTGATGAAATTTCACAATTCCGATTAATTAAGCCTTTAATAACGTATTATTTCCTCTCTTCGCATAATGATGCTAAAATTTTGCCTGTTGTGCTTTGTTTATCTTAAAATACGTTTAGCCTACCATGATTTCCGGTGCAATTGCCCTTTAAATTTTCGTACTGTTTAAATTCGAAACTTTTAGGGTCGAATCAATACCGAAACAAGCGTCTGGTAATTTCTGTAAATATCATTCAAAATGTCTCGTAACAGTAAGTACTACATTAAAAGAGCTATATGTTCTTACTGCTTAATAAGATATTCACAATCTTAAGTAAAAAATTCACAATTTGTTAAGAAACGATGCTTTTTTCACAATTCTTACGGTACCTGACCCATTCACAATTCAGGGAAAAAATCACTGCAGTTCCTTACCATATTGTTTTATTTCTAATGATAGTATTGTCCAACCTTGTGAAGAAGGCCTTTGGACTGTCCCCTCATTCATAAATTTATTATTTTCTGATCTAAACAAACCTGTATGAATCACCATCTCTGTTGTAGTCACACAATAAAAAGTCTTTGCCTGTTGTTTTACATCTGGCTATTTTTAAAGGTTGGTCTACAGATGACAAAAGGTCTTCACAAAGGTTTGGTACCTGTAAAAAAGAACAAACATTTCTGAATTACAATACATGTTACAATATTTCAGTGAGGCTGTGTATTTTAATTTCAAGTAATTTCAAGTACAGCCCAATAAAAGTTTATAAATAGAAGTCTTCACAATATTTTTTTTTGATAACATGCCCGTTTGGCAGACAATGAAATTTCAACTTGCCAAAATCCAATTTACCTTGCCTAGAGAAAAGGGTGAGCTTTTTTTATGTAAATCAGGGAATGGGGCATGAGTGTTGAGGGATAAGAAATGGGAAAGATACTAGGAAAAATACTAGTTTTGGCTAGTATGAATGAATGCTTTACTTGTCCACTGACACAATGTTCACCTGATCACCTCACATGCAACATTTTGCCACCTCTTCTCTCTAAACTTAAAATATAGCACACAGTAGTGAGTACTAACAGTCTAATAGCTTAAACTAGTGACAGATCAGTCATCCCTAAAACATTTAACAGATACAATGATTAGAAGATGAAGACAGAGATCTATGAAATATCTGGTCTGGGGTTGACTAGTAGGTCGCTACAATGCTGCCAGGTCCAAAATACTGTCTATTTTTTCTATAGTTTATAATACAGTTTATTAGTACATAATGATAAAAGTTTAACAAGGACAGAAAATTCAATGACACCTTTTGGTAATCAGCTTGTATATTGCACTTAAATGTATTAAACAGTATAATAGTGCCTGCTCAGACAGTTACTCTAGCTTTCTTGTCAGACCACTCATATTGTGAATATTATATTACTATAAACAGTAAAGCCTTGCTGACACTTATATAAAACACATTAATCTAAAGCTCAATAAGTATACTAAAAACAAATGTCATTTAATGCCTTGTTTAATTTTAATCTTTTGTTATCATATGATAAAACTTTGTGTTACATACCAAGTCAATTAAGTCGCTAAGATTTTTCTCTATCTGTTGAGGAGGCAATCTTCTCATTAAATCTAGTGCACAATCTAGCTGTTGATCAGCCTAAAAATATAAATATGACAATTCATGGTAGTTGAGGCAAAATCAGTATTTCCACAAATTCAAATCTGTGAATTACAGCCTAATTTGTCATTATTAATACTTGTAATATGATGCATAAATACTGTACATCTTTTATGCACGTCTCCACATAATATCGTCTTCCTTTAATTTAGCTTTTTTACAAATTAAGAAAATGTTGACTGAAATATAACATAAATAATTTATCACAACTGCAAATTGCTCGACCACGAGGATAGTAAAGGACCACATCTGTAATTCACTGAAACAATACAATGTAGCTGTCTACCCATAATGTGTGAAATAACTATTCAATTATTCCAAACCCTGATTGACATTACAGAGACTTAATGGACTCTTCAAGAGCTTGCTGTACAATCAAAATGTTTTCTTACATGTCAAAACAAACAGACATTTCTTGTGTGGACGCCTTTTTGGTTGGTGGCCAGGTGTCCCTCAGAAGTATGATTACAATAGTCTGCACATGATTATTTCTTTATGCATTGCTAAATAATAAGACAGATATGAAAACATATTTTCCGTGATTGTTTAGAATATATTGTTCCCCAGTAAATGAAACACAGTTGAGTTGCCATATAGACTAGTATCAGTAATTTAGAGATGTTGATGAATTATTCAATGATTTTGGCACTTTCACGCTTGACCGCCAGTAAATGGATGTTTTAAATATTTCTTAACAATAAATTTAGACTTGTTAATTACACCAGTGGGGTCTCAGCCTTTTTCTTGGGGAAAATATGCATGATTTTGGCATAATTTGGGAAAAGGGGTCTCAAATTTAACACAAACTTTTAACAAGTTCTTCAAAATAGAAAAGCAAATAGCACTGGGAAATACTGATAAGGCAGTAAAAGACCTTAATTCAACACCATCATTTAATTTTGTTCTAAATTCTATGGGAAATTTCAAAAGACTGGGGAATTTTGAGGACCAAACTGGGGGAAAAAGAGGCTAGTTTGGTTGGGGAAGCAGCCTATATTTGGCCTCTACAAAGAAGGGTTTTTTGGCCCTGTACACATCTATTTAAGTGAAAAATAATTGCAATAATCATGCAGGGGTCATGTTTCTAGGCGACTTGGGCAAAATAGTCACATTGTCTCTCTACACTTCACCCAGTTTGCTTAGAAAAGCAAAAACAAAGTCGCCCTCGTCTGGATAAACTTTGCAATAATTTCCCAAGTGTCAAAATTGTCTACGCTCCGCCTATTTCAAAACGGTATGTTTAACCTATATTTATTCTACAGTAAAATTTGAAAACCAATGAAAAGCGTAGATACAATAGAGCTGAAGTTAACAGCTGACATCATTGGATGTTGATCAATGCAACTTAAATATCAATTAACAACAATTTAACATTAAAGTTGTGGAAATCATATTCACAAACAAAATAAATTATCCTGCTTACTTCTTTACAAAACTCAACTGCTACATGGGCGGTAATTATCAATACACAAGGTTGATGTCAACATGACTGAATAAAGTTAAACACTCATCGATTATGATGCACCTTACACAGTCTTATATTGTGTAATGACACAGACTTGGATATTTTATGCATACAGGTGAATGATCTGCTTTTGCAAAATCTTTTATATTAGGGCAATAGGATTACATAAAACCATGGAACCGTGAATTATTTATGGATTGTCTGGCCAAAGAAACATATATTTTTATCGGACCTTCTAAATTTTTTACCAGTCAGGGTCGACGGTCTGTCGGAAAGACTGAACTCTGATTTGAGATTAACAAAAATGGCAGACACACTTCAATGATAGGTTAAACACCAACAATTTATATGTATCTATTTAATGGTAAAAAATACCTGCATTTACTTTTATATTTTGAAAATTTTATGCTTGTTTAGTTGTTATTAAATCATAAGAGTTTTCCAAGTCATAGGTAGCACCTAATTTCATATTAATAATAATAAATTAGTCTATGCGAAAGATCTAGTGCTGAGTTTTACTGGACAGTAGGTCCTGTAAACTGAAAATTTTTACTGGACCAAACATGATTTTACTGGACTGAAAAAAGTCCTTTATTGGTACAGCATTTTAAGTCACTTGATAAGTGTCAGCAGTCAAAAGTTTGTGTATATTAAGAAAATGTTGGTCTTTGTCCGGACACAAAGTCTTGATGTGGTAGACATTTATGCCTAGTTATTTTAAAATCCTTCCATGCATGACAAAGTTACTGCCCGGACAAGAATGTGTGTACTTATAAACTCTAATTGTGATAATGTGAAAATTCTAAATGTTAGTGTGACCTTGTCCTTTGAGGTAGAGACAAAATTCTTGGACGCAACACATGGTCTTGATGTGGTAGACATTTATGCCTAGTCAGGGCTCACACTGGCTCAAATAAAATAATAAGAGGATATTTTTTCGTTTGCGTGAAATATGGAATATATTTTCACGAAACATGATAAAATGCCATATATTTTCACGAGCCGGTACCATATTTCACGAAAAACGAAAAAATATCCTTTTTATTTAATTTCATTATCAAAGAAAATGGTAACGAATCCCCTTGCTTGCTACCAACTGCGATTGTACAGCGCGCAGTAATTTATGCGTAAGCACGCGCTGTTTGGCGCTACATTGTGACGTCATGTAAACAACTATTTAAACGTCTGTACAGCGTTAATTACTGAATTAAAGATATTGGTGTTCGGATTAATTTTCTTAGTTAGACCATTTTCTATCATGCTAGATAGTTTTCAAAACAAAATTCAAGAAAAAGTTGTTTTGTATTTATCAGATTTTTCAAACAAAACGCCGAAAGAAGTCCCTTAAAATAAATATGAGTTTTGACTCCGCCCACTTTCATATTTATATTTCATATTTATTTTTAAAAAATATGAAATATATTTGACTGATATAGCACCATATTTCATGGGTAAAATTAAATAATAGCCAATATTTTTAACTTAAAAAAATAATAGCCAAAAGTTCAGCAGACTATTGACGATTTAGCGATTAACAACATAAGCAGTTGATTAAATAAACATTACAATGTCATATACAATTTTTTCAGTTTTATAAGGACTCTCAAATAAACTGATACATTTGTGTATATTGATAACTACATTGTACCTTTTTTACATAGAACCACAACTTGAATTGTTATTGTAGAACAGAATAAAAATTTAATATAGTATAATAACTGTATGACAATAATATCAAAAATTCATTATAACTTTACATAATGATGTTATGGGACAATTTCTTTTATTTGTTCTTATCAAATTTTGTCAGCTATAACCACTGTCAATTATCCACATTTCACACAGAACTGGAGTAGATCTAGGTCATATTAGCCTCAGGGTTCTCACTAGGACTTTAAAACATGGAGTCCATGGACTCCCAACCCTGAAAAAGTTGGAGTCCAAAAGCGTGTCGCAATTAATATGTTTACAGATTAGTCATTCAATGCTCACAATAGTATTGCTGATATTTTGAATCTTCAAGAGACTTCCAAAGTTTATAGTTATTCAAAAGAAACTCTGAACTACATAGTATAATTATTGTTTTGTTGTTAATATTCATTATGAAATTATTTCATTATAATGCATCAACACATGGAAATCGTTGTTTTTGTTTTTTTTCACTTTTATACCAAATTAAATTTTATTCTGGTTAAATAAGTCCACTCTAAAGATTTGTAAAAAAACGTAAAGCGTTTAGCGGAATGAATAGGAAAATCGTGTACAGCTTCACACAGTGTGTAAGAGATTCATCCGGTCGACAATTATTTTAGCAAATATCTTCAAAAGGGGGCAAATTGAAGATCGATATTTAAAGATTTAAAGTTGATTAAATAATAAAAGAACAATTCATTCGTATGTTTGGCTTGGAAACCGAGAATTTTTGCGAAATTTTAGGGTTTCTGGCGAACGTGAAATCGCCGATGTTCGGGATCAATTTTCGGATAGAATCTAAATATCAAAGAAAAGCGTATGTGTATTTTGGTTTGTTGTCCTGGCATTTCGGCAAAATATCTTAAATTCTTAATACTCTTATAGAAAGATTTTGCAAGAATGAAACTAAAGCAAAATTGTGCCTAGAAAATGCCGAAACTATTGGACAATCATTCAAAATTACACTCGTTTGTAATTTGAGAAAACAGTCTTTAAACTTGCGGTGTAATCGATAATTTATCCTTTTGTCGGTAAAATTTGCTAATTTCCAATCAACTGTTGATCAAAGATATAAAATTATCACCTCGTGTTATATCTGGTACAGCGCGTGTATACATTAGTCTAATCACTATTGCGTGATAATGATCGGAAGCGTTAGCGCTGATTGGCTAATCGCTTCACGGGTCGATGTGCATAGGACCGCCTACCATAGACTGACACGCGCTGACGCATTTGTGTATTTGTGGTTGTAAACAATCGGTAATGTTTATGCGTCCCCAGGCAAAATTAAGCGTACGTGGAATCCTTGCTCTGAAATATTTGCGTCCAGCTGTAATAAACATGCGTACCGGGACGCCAAAATAAGCGTCCCCGAGAACCCTGAGCCTATAGAAATAACTCTTGCAAACTCATTCACAGAATGCAGCCTTTTCCTGAATAACTGACTGAAAAATGTCATCATCACCAATGTAATACAAATTTTCTGCCATAATAGTAATTATTTTTAAACAGAATATAGCTTATTTCACCTTTAAATAAATATAAAAATTATCAGTGTCGCGAAAATATGTGACAATCGGATTTTTTCCTGTTTTCTGAAGAAATATTCACAATTTTGGTTGTTGTGCAAATAGTTGTTTGGAAGTTAATACTTTTTAAATATTTTACCATTTTTTTTCACTGGTGATTTTGTCATGCAGCTTAAAACAAAAAAAAATCAAAATTTGCAATTTTACTGCAATTTACGGTAAATTTTGGGTTGGTCAATATCCAGTTTATCAATTTTAAAAACGATTTTTGTGGCTAATAGACTGATATTTGATGGCTATTATAATGCTGGACAATATCTTTCGAGTACTTATACAATTTTACATCTTGCATGTATTTTTATAACCTCGGGCAATATAGTAAGCAGCATGTGACCGATAAAAAAGTTGACACTCAATTAAATCCACTGTTGGAAGTAAAAAATAATCGCCAGATTTTGTAGCCAAAATGCAAAAATAATCGCCAATCTTATAAAATAATCGCAAATGGTGACTATGGCGACTGACAGCGTGAGCCCTGTCTAGTTATTTTAAAATCATTCTGTGCATGACAAAGTTACAGTCCGGACACGAATGTGTGTACCTATTGATAATGTGAAACTTCAAAAATGATAGTGTGACCTTGATCTTTGAGGTAGAGACTACTTTCTTTTGCCTTTATTTTTTTAATAATTTGTTTATATTTTTAAATTATTTAAAGAATGTCAAGCTCCTGTCTTTGGTTTAGACCAGGGAGTAGTATTTGGCTATGTGATGGAATAGACCCCAGGGTCTAAACCAGAAGTATATATAAGGTTCATTCCATTTTCTTTAGTTTTTTATATAAAAATTTTACTACTGAAAATAAACATTAAGTTCTAATCATATTGTTGGAAATTAAACCAATGGAAAATTGAAACGTCTGGCACATTTAGATGACAAAAAGGCAGAGTTAAACTAAATAGCCAGAGCTGATCACTATCGATTTGAACAGCATTTTTGTTCTAAATGCTTATTTTCTGATCTCTCAACAAGGTCTTTCGTGAACCGCCCTTCGTGAACCTTTTCGTGAAAATTTTCAGTCGAGTTTCAGTTTTCACTTCCGCATTGTAAACAACTTTTTATTAGAAATTATAGAAAAGTAATTCCAGTATTATAAAATATGTGACGCCTGGAATCGGACAGTCAAACAAATTAAGTGCGATGCAACTAGTTTTACTGGTATATCACATAGAAATTACCATGTTTAACAGTTTGTACTGAAAACTGCTTTATATCGGAAGTAGGCGACAGAAAATGGAAGCCGTAATCCGGGCACTTTAAGACGGTGCGCTCGATTATTTATGAAAGGAAAGAGACAGTTTCCGATTTTTTCTATTTCGCGAATAGAACAAATCTAAACTCTAATTATATGTTTTTATAAACAGAAGTTTTTCATATTTATTTATAGTCCATTTAAAATTTTTATAGGTAAATGAAATGTTGCGCACATCCTGATTGGTTATACGAAGTTAATCTGGAGTTAATATGCAGTATCAAATTTTTATGTTGTCAGGCAGTAAAATAGAGAAATACAGAATCCCTAAAGAAAGCCCAACACGACAAAATTGAAAATGTTGCAGGCTCGGTTTGATTGAGCCTGTTCATGGACGGTACTGGAAAGTGCAAGTAAGTTTTGTTTTAAAATTAAGAATTTTAGTTGGATAAAGAAAAAATGAAAAACTCCACCAGGTATCCAATCTAATAGCTAGATCCATTTTCAATTTTATTAGCGACCTGACTTACTGTGATATAGTCTTAGGTTAGTTGTATGTACATTGAAAATTTGGATATCTGAGGTTGAAAATGGTGTTATTTCCATGACTTTCTGGTACCTTTTAGATCATTAATATTGTATTTTTTATACTAGGCTAGTGTTTGCTAGTAAACAAACCGATGTATTGTTTGAAATTTACAGTTAATTTACTTGTCTGATTAATAGTAATCTGATATATAGTAATCCCGGGAATTGACCACCAGTCATAGGTATCATTGATACGTTATCTATTAGATGTTACTCCTGGCGTGTTATGTAAGAGTTTTTCAGGAAATTAAAAGTAGACTTGTATACACTTTCTGAGGGACTTTCTTTGATAGTTTGCTGGTTTTGAGAGATTTTTGATTTTCAAGAACGTACATGAAAACCTGCACTACCTAAAATATTTGTAAAAATATGATAGTATACACTTATAGCGAAATAGGTTTTTGAATGAAATATTTTGTTTAAGAATTTCAAACAAATTAAAACCGGGATTGTATTAGATATATAGTGATATCGGGAATTTAATGTCGCCATATCATATTCAGAAAAGTCTGGATCGTATTAAAAATAGAGAGATCGTGGGAATCTACCATTTGCACAGAGCTGAATGATAAGTCTCTGCCATTTGCCATATATGTCAAAAGTTTGTTTATCAATCATTTAAGTTCATTTAATGATTTTTAGCATACTCTTTTAAAAAAGAACTCTTGTAAGTTCAAATTGCTATGAAACTATAAAAAGGCTTCAACACTGTTCAAAGTTGGCACAAATGTTGATTAGACCATAGCCGTTGTAACAGCATACTCAATCTTAAATTTCCTGTTACCACGGCAACGAGGGGACATCTCAAAATTGCAAAAAATCACTATTTTGCAATGATTATTCCATTAAAACTGATTTCAAAATGGATTGAGATAGAGTTAAAAGCCCCTCCGGACGAAAGCCCCCCCCCCCCATTCTAAAATAACAAGGTGGACTAAAGCCCCCCCCCCTCCCATGAAATTTACACGTACGTCAAAAGTCCCCCCATCAAAAATACAGGTAGGATAAAAGCCCCCCCCCCCCAACACACACACATCAAAGAATTGTTATTGAGAATTTGTCAGTTTAAATCTGGAAATTGATGTATTGAGACAAGTCAAAATCGGTATATGTTTAATTTAACGAATAAATGCAATTGTTTTAAAATATAATTTACATTAAGATTTAATTTAAATTAAAAGGTACACAAGTTCTAATTTGATTTATTGTGTAATTTGTATATATAATTCATTGATGATTTGAATGTTTTTATGTTTACTTTATTATATATTGCGAAGTACAAATGTAAATGAATATTTTCAGAGAATCGCTTATCAACGCTTATTAAGAAAATAAAAGTGAAAGGCGCATACTTGTTTAGATTTATTTTGAAGTATATAGTTCCCGAACACTGAGCATGTGAAAAAAGATAGTAATCAGTCTGGTCTATAAACCTTAGGGGGCTTCTGTTTGATGGACTGGGGGGGGGGGGGCTTTTGTCCTACCTGTATTTTTGATGGGGGGCTTTTGTCTTATGTGTAAATTTAATGGGGGGGGGAGGGGGCTTTTGTCCACCTTGTCATCTTTAAATGGGGGGGGGGCTATCGTTCTTGGGGGGGGGGGCTTTTGTCCTACACTCCCGGTGTACACAAAGGTTCCATAATAACCGCCGTATGAACACATCTACGGATGTTTCTAAATCTAAAATTTCACCATTTTCGTGTTAAATGTTGAATTCTGCCTAAAGCCGGTGCTAGGGGGCGTGGACGGTAACTTGCACTTTCCAGTACCGTCCATGATCAGGCTCAATCAAACCACGGATTTAATATAAATCCGTGATCAAACCGAGCCTGCAACATTTTCAATTTTGTTGTGTTGGACTTTCTTTAGGGATTCTGTTTTTCTCTATTTTGTTATTAGTATCGATACGATCCGGATCCCGATATTTCACCCCTACCGTGTTTTTGACGACATTTCCGGTAATTTGTAAAAAATAGTAGGAAGTTCCGGATACGGGAAATAGACTCAAGAACTCGTTTACCATCAATTTCAGTACGTTTTTGTGTTAAATAATTCATTTTGTAAGTTTTTCCTTTCTGATTTGTTAAAAACTCGTTGCCTGGGTACTTTATAAGTAGATGTATAGGCACTTTACCCTCACACACTTCAACTCAAGTCATTGTTGTTATCAGACACTTAACCATTTTTTTAGAATAATATTTTGAAAGGTTTAGTAAACTTTTATCAGTTTATATTCCCTTTTACAATTAGGTTTTTCAAAGGAAAAACCTTAATAGATAGGTGTATGTGGAGGGGGGGAGGGGTAGTCCAATATATTAGACGTTACAGGCTTGTTATCAGCTTATCATTATGTCGGTCAAGCCTGACGTTCAATAGTTATTGCTCAAAAACGCGTAGCATCAAAAAAATTCAAAAAATGTCTTTTGCCTTGCCTTTCAAGCTTTATTCAAAAGCTTATCTTCTTTTCTTTCAATTTCATGCTCAATCATACACACAAACTCTCAAACGATGTACTTATCAATTTAAAATAAAATATAAACATCAATCTAATTTTGTCTATCAGCCATACTGGTTAAGCAAGGTGCTTTACAGATTGATTCCAAATTTTTGAAAAGAAAAATATATTCGAACACACTGACGGTGCATGGGCAATTATTTCGTTAAAAAAATATTCCGTTATAATGTTCTGACTCGGTTAAATGCTTGCATTTGAATTAGCCAATCAGATTTTGCGCACTGTATGGCCGCCATTTGTTTATCGGCTGTAAAGGAATTTAAATACATGAGAGGATTTAATCATGATTTTTCGGAAGTGAAGTTTAATTATTTTGACAAAAGGTATTTATTTTTTAGTTTTGTTCATAAACAGGTCAAAACTAATGTAAATACACGCTGTCTTAATTGTTTTTCGTTTCGCCCGATTTTCTGGCGGAACATGCTATGGGTTTTTGAGCAATTTTGATATGATGTTGCTTTGCCCAGAAGCAAAAATATCTCAAAGAGACGTCATATTTATAGGCCTTGGGGGACAAGACCCCCCCACACACACACACAAACAAATTCTTCACCCCTTATAGTCATAATTTGACACTTCACCCCACCCCCATAACAAATCATTTTAGTTTTTACTTAATCAAATAGTATTTCTTAATGAAGATTATTAAAAAATGTGTTTGATATTAAACTTTAAAGTGGTTTTTTACACTTTTTGGGGAAGGGGGTCTTTGACCTTTGGAGGGGGAAAATGCAAAAGGAGGGGGGATTTTATTTCTTCACAAATGAAGAGAAATGAAAAAAGAATCCAGTGCATTTTTTATTATATACCACTTACCACCGTAAGATTGACTGTTGTGCGACATTGTTTTCTTTCCGGTAGAAAAGGGGAGCAACTCTTGCAACACAAGTTTAAAATACGTCGCTTTTCCTTAATTAATATAAGGATCTAGAATAGCGATAGCAGAATTTAAAGTGTCCCATGTTAAATTCTGGCTGCCGTATGGGGGAAAATTTCGGCTTTGAGGAGGGAAAAAAACATACTATTTTGAGGGGGAATTGGGCTGAATTTCGCCAAATATTTTGGTGAAAAATACAGTTTTAAGTGCATGTTGTGTTTATTTACTGTAAAACACTTATTTTTCGCGAGAACCTTATTTCGCGAATTTGATGCAAAATGTCCAAAATAATTATTTCGCGTCAACATGAATTCGCGTCTTCCTGAAAAAAGTGAAACCGGAAACCCTATGTCATTCGGATATTTCCTGTCCTGTCCGTTCACTAACTTTGCGTCGTTTATTGTGCGACGAATGCATTTATATCTGTATCAATTTTTCTGATAGCTTGCTAATCTTCTTGTTAAGTGAAACCGTCTGTCTAAAAATATGTCAATAAAGTTTGATAATTATTTGATATGTGTTCACTGTGTTTGTCAAAGTGTTAAAGTTTTACTGATTAGCCATTCAAAGGCAAGCAGAGGAAAATCAATTAAACGGTACTGTAATTTGCCTAACCTGTAGTAAACGATTATGTTTACCCTCCGGCTTAAACTGTAGTACAATACAATAGGATACAATACATAGAAATGTTACAAACAACTCGCAGGTGCTAAAGTATTTGTACCAATGAGACGAGAATGAAATGATCAAGCATGGGTGGGTGCAGGCCTGTATTGTTCAATAGACTTGACATTGATAAATTGTGTTGGAAATATAATTAATCCATTTAGTTGGACAGATTTTCACATCAATTAGAACAATATGTAGAAATACCATTAAAATTTTGTGAGACGCATTAATTTGTTTATACTTAATTCTAGTGCAAGTCACAGTTACCTTCCTTGACACAGGTAATATGCAGCGAAGAAGTTTTTTTCCAATTCCTCAATAATACTAAATTGTTACAGGTAAATATTTCATACTGGTAATCGGTACGATATGTATATGCTGCAACACTTGAATAGCTACTTGATGTAACTAGAACTGGTTTCGATACTTTCCCGCAGATATATATCTATGTGTACGCATTTTCGGATAGTGTTCATTTTCGGACAAGTTTATAGACAAAGTAAAATATTCGCGAGAAATATGAATTCGCGTCTTAGAACACTCGCGAATATTAGCGAAAATAAATTTCTCGCGAATAATAAGTGTTTTACAGTATTTCACACAGGTCTACTGGTTGGGGACCACCAAAACCTGACAGCCATCAAACCCGTAAGTCCCGAAAATGCCTGATTTTGTTCTTTTCTTTGTTCAGTGGTTGTCAATAAGTCAGCAGCCTCTTTATCAGGGTTTTTTTTCTAGATTTTGGAAACATGACCCATACCCATGGAATTGGGAATTTCAGCGATGTTTGTTAAAAATTGGAAAAATGCATGACTTAAATTTTGCAATGATTAAATGAATGCAAATAATCACTGTCTAGGATGGCATCTTCAAACATTTAAGCACCATAACAGTGAAGAAGCCCTTATTTTCAAAGTTTTTAGAATTTGCTATTCAATATTTTATTTTGTAATTTTTATTTGGGAATTTTTTCCTGTGGATTGGGAAAAAAATATACCATTTTAAATTGGGAATATGACTGAATATCGGCTATATAATAAAATAACCTGAAAAAAATCCCTGCAACAATAAATGTATGTTCCTTCTATAATTAAGTAATTAAATTTATTTTAACTTACGTAAATCAGGGCCGGCAAAATCTCTCAAAATTGTACTTGTCCACGGACAAGTAACTTACAAAATTTACTTGTCCGTACTCAATGTTCACTTGTCCGTATTTTTATTACATGCTTTTCGGTGGTTTATAGAAATATATCAGTGAAATAAAAACTGATAATTTCACTGTTTTAAACAGTGAAATTATCAATTTGGTAATTTCACTGTTTTGAATATTTGAGCACGTTACGTTGTTTCAGTGAAATACAAGCGTTCACAGTACTGGAAACCAACTTAATGAAGTGACGTCGTAAATGACGACACGTTGTATTATTATTTGGCGCCCTTTTCATTTAGTACTAGGTTAAAATGTCTTTTTAAACGTTTCTTTGCATATAATAAAAAGAAAATTTGTTTAGTTTAATGTAAGATCGAAATATATTTCACCTCGTGAACACCAAAAGTTCACATTTCACTCGTGGCTGCGCCACTCGTGAAATATACCTTTTGGTGCTCACTCGGTGAAATATATTCCGGTCTTACACTGAACTAAACAAATATCCTCTATATATTTAATATTTACTGCAAATGTCAATTAAGAAGAGCAATATGATCATGAACTTGTTTTCAATTTTATTAAACATTCTGTGCCATATGTTGAATAATATAATATATTATGATTATAATGTAGTTTATATTTTTTTAAATATTAACGGCAGTAGATTAAGGTAGAACGGCAGTGATGGACAAATTGTGTATATTTTACTGCAAGGAACATTGGTCTTTTGCCAGCACTTTTTCAGTTTTTAGCTCGACTTTTCTATGAAAAGGGGAGCTATCCTACTCGCCCCGGCGTCGGCGTTAGCGTCGGCGTTGGCGTCACACCTTGGTTAAGTTTTTCATACCACCCCACTTTATTTCAGAAGTATTACAAGTATGGCTTTGAAACTTACCATACTTGTTCACCATCATAACCTCCATCTACAGACAAGAGTACATAACTCTGTCAAGGTTTTTGACAGAATTATGGCCCTTTTTTGACTTAGAAAGTGTATTGAGCTTGGTTAAGTTTTTTGTACCACCTCACTTTATTTCAAAACCATTGGAGGTATTGCTTTGAAACTGACCATACTTGTTTACCATCACGACCTTCATCAACAGACAAGAGGACATAACTCTGTCAAGGTTTTTGACAGAATTATGCCCCTTTTTGACTTAGAAAATACATTGAATATGGGTAAAATCCACTTATTGCCTTAACCCTTTGAGATATTGCTTTGAAACTTTTAATGCTATTTCACATCATTACCCCCATCTGTACGCAAGAGAAGGTAACTCTGTCAAGGATTTGTTTTAAAAATTAAGGCCTTTTATCGACTTAGAATCTTGGTTAAGTTTTTAGTACCAGTCCACTTTTTGACTGAACTGTTTGAGATATTAATTTGAAAGTTGGAATACTTGTTTACCATCATGGTCCCAAAACATGGGCAGGAGAAGGTAATTCTGTTAAGGATTTTATTTGAATTATGGCCCTTTTTGACTTAGAAACTCAGTTAAGATTTTCATTCTTGTCCACTTGTTGACTTAACCATTTGAGATATTACTTTGGAAGTTGGAGTTCTTATGTGCCATCATGAGACCTATCTGTAAGCAAGAGAAGATAACTCTGTGAAAATGTTTCTTGATTTGTACTTAGAAATTCCTAGTTAAAGTCTTGTGTGCCCTTAACTGTCAAAGTTTTGTTTTATAGGCAAGCACTAAAAAAGTCGAGCGCGCTGTCCTTCTGACAGCTCTTGTTCCTTGTGTCACTTGCACCCAAATTGCTCTATAAATATGTCTACATTTTTTGCACTCTGGTACCATTTCTTATTTAGT